TCCATTGGATTAATAATATTCTTCTTTTACTGATGCTTGAGGTATCTTTTTCTCAGTAAATTTATTATGTTTGAGCATGTATGCATATGTGGGTGTATAATGTTTGCTTCTAAAACGAGAGGGCCTGATATTCTTTTTCTTAGATGCCCGTTTAAATTAGCCATGGGGGAAAAATTATGAAGTGATAAATTCATGCATTCATGCATACATTCTTTTAATGTCAATAGTAGTATGATCAGTTAACAAGGTAACACTGGTAAAATACTTGTTTTGATGTGAAACAGAATTACATCTCACTATTCTTTCGAAATGCAGAGAAACTTCACATTCCTATGGATGCCATTTTTAGGTTTCTAAGTACGTGGCAGCCAATCATCCATTTATAAAGGAAATCATTTTTTCTCTGGGGCAGAACTTTATTGTACACTAGAAACTTATCAATGAAATTCCAAAATAAATTAAAATACTTATGGAACTTGGTATGGATCATACTATGATCTTATGGATCATCATTGTCTCTATTCCAACAGGGTGCTCTGTGTGAATTGCTCTTATAAGCCAATCAGGATCACACTTATCCTTAGGAAATAGTAGCAGTGCCTGTGATGCCTATAGTGCGTTCATATTTCTAGGAGTCCACTGTTTCATTAGTCTTCACAAAAACCCCAGGAACAGTGATAATTTTTCCTCTCCAGAGAAGAAAACAGAGGACCAAAGACTTACACTGACTGCCTAATTTGACTCTGATAGTCAGTGGAAGAGCTTTGACTTATGACATGCTCATCTTCTAAGTCTAGAGCCGCAACTTCATACCACAACTACCCACAAAGAGCTCCAGCAGTTTGATCACTTGACCTACTGCTGGATGACATTGCTGTATATCACTTATTCATTTAATGAGCAAACGCGGAAGTGCCTGCTCTGTGCCCAGGACAGTGCCGGGCACTGGGAATACTGTATTTAGCAAGCACTGTCACAATCTGAAGGGGCAGGTGAATATTAAGCAACACGAAGCCTGATTAAAGAAATATGGTCAGGTGAGAAGCTGACCAAAAGTTCGGAGAAGACATGTCTAAGGAATAAATAAATGCAATTTAGTGGGAATCTGAAGAATGAATAGGCATTAACCAGACAATGTATATATACTGTGTATGGATCAGCATGTTCTAGTCCAAAGAGGCAGAAGGAGCAAAGGCTCTGTGATATGAGTAATATGAGCTAAGGATGGAGAAGTGGGTGGGGGTCAGACTATAACAGGTCCTCTAAGCCATTGGGATTTACCATATCTCTAAAAAATCAGTGGGACGTGACTAAAGGGTTATAACAGCTTGGGCAGAGAAAGGGTGATGTAACTACATGGTAGACTGGCAACCTCAAGAAGACTCTACCTAGTTGGGATCTTCTGAAGGTAGCAAATGATATCTCCACTTTATCCTCAACTAAAATAAGCAATATCAGATCAAGAAAATCAAGCTTTTTTTTTTTCTAACAAGGACTTAGTCTCACGTTACAAAAAGACTGGGTAAGGCTGCAATACTTATTATCAGTCCCCAAATATTCAGGATATAAAAGACTGCATGTAATTTCAGGAGTGGAAATAATCTGAGAAAAGCTTGAGTCATAGCCCTTCCCCTTACTGGCAAGGAAACCAAGGGTCAGTTATCAGAATTCATGGAGCAAGTGAGAGTCTCTGGCTGCCTTAGCATTTTCCATTTCTAGGGAGATGTGAGCAAATTTCCAGGGGGATTAATCTCCCCTCTTCATTCTGCAGTATATGCAACCAAGATGATATGGTACCTTTAGATAACAAAGAGTAACAGCTCTCAGTTGACTGTCAAATATCCATTTCAGAAGCAGTGGGTAAATTAAATGTAGGAGGCACGTACACATTTATGTATTTTCCATATCAGAAAATGACCTTGTTAACTGTCACCTTCCCATTGAGGCATCTCCCTCAGCATAACATATATTAAATTTATGGATACAAGGTATAAATATAGTCACTAGCCATTCATTCAGCCAGCATGTATTAATCGCTGTGTGCACAGCACCATAATTCAATTAAATTCCGTTCATTTTTATAAGTATTTGAAAGGCAGCGAGAGGAAAGAACACCAGATGCAATTTTGAATCATGGTTTCAGTACTTCCTGAGTGTAATGTTAGGTGAAACATGTAACCTCTGCAAGCCTCAGTTTCCTCATCAGGAAAAGGAGGATAATAAATAATGACCTCATTGTGTACAGAAACTAGTAAATGAAGTCATACTGCACCTAGTCCCTGGCACATAGTACTTAATACATGTTTCCTAAGTGCAGAGTGACTTAAAAACACTCTGGGATTTTTCACTTTTCTTTTGGTGATTCTCTGTTTCTGCACAGATATTTTGGTATTTCTCTACTTGTGGACCTGCTTAAAACAGAACCCATCTATTCCTTGGGTGCAGCAAAATGAACCCATTACTATAAAACTGCCTCAAGGATTATGAAGTGGAATTGGAAGGCTGGGCTCTGTTTTGCCTGGGGTTGGAACACCATCCCAAGCAGGGGGGAAATACCACTCCTTTCTCGGGCACTGGAAGATTCTTCTAGATCCATTATATTTCCACCATAAAATGAAATTGACTAGAAGCCTTTACTGAATTCTTTCCTGCCACACTGTGGTTTGGCCCATGAGTGAACTGCTAACTGGCAGCTCAGTGCCCTGGACTGTTCTGCGAACCCAGAACTCAGCTCAGCTGGGGAAGCAGCAATTTCTAATGACATTACTCTTGAGTGCCAAGGACAGAGTGGCAGAATTCATGAACTGCTGGGAGAACCATTTGTGTATCATATTTCTTTGACTATGTAGCTGTTTTCCCTATGTGTCAATTTCTAGTTAGAGTTTGGGATGTGCCTGACAGTGCTCACCTTCAAAATGGGGGAGATGGCTCATATTTGAAAACCGTGCTTGCCATTTGATCAAATAGACAACCTCTTTATGTGTTTAAATATGAAGAATTCTACTGCATCGTGGTACACACACACACACAAATATAAGTGTGCTGTCTACTTATACTGCACGTTTTAAAATATACAGATGGATATAAGTAAAAAGACAAGGGGTTCAGAATCAGTTGAATTTGGAATTGATCCTAAACTCAATCTGTTGCCAGCTCCATGACTTGGAGCAAGTTACTTCACCTCTCTGAACAGGGCCAGGATGAAGGTGGTGTCAAAGAGGCACCTAGGGTGTAAAATTTAAGGAGGCACACATGACCCTGAGATTCTACTTAAATTTTGCACCCTAGGAGTCTTGCTTGTCTCACCATCATGCTGACCCTGTCTTGGAGCTTCAGAATCTTAAGAATCAAGACATTTAAAGCACCTACTGCACTACTCAGCACAGACAGCAAGTAAATGGTGACCTTTAACCAGAAACATTCACATATATGGGAGCGAGTGTGCCAGTTGCAGCCAAAACCACATCCAGATATTACGCGTGTCTCTCTTCCACACTGGGGCAGGGCGGGTGTCCGTGACCACCCAGGGGTCCACCAGGAAGCAGCTACTGATGACATGGCAGGGATGTCAAGGTCCAGATCAAATAGCAACACGTGGGGTTTCTGGAGCAGTCCTGGTAACCCAGGCCATGCACACTCCTCAGGGAGCCACCAAACGAAAGCAAAGGAATACCAGCGTAACATTAGGAATACTTTTCCTGCTCATTTGAGTTAATTTTAGGGAACAAATAAAATAAAACAAAACCAACATTCTGCAACAGAGCCACTGTTCATTTCTGAGGTAGTTTTTTCCTCTATAATGCACACTTGTACATTCTTTGGGTTGTGTTTCATATAAAGATTTCTTTTTTGTTTCTTACTTAAGATTGTGTCACGACTATTACTCCATGTCATTAAATATTTTTACACTGTAATGGTTAATGCCTGAAAAGAAGGCCATTTCATAGATGTAGCATGGCTAACGAATTTTATGTTGTTGGGTTTTGAACTTAGGTTTGGAATACCTAATATTTTGATGAATATCTTGTCCTCATTTATCAGTCCACTTTTGTTTATGTATTAGTATTTGTCAATGGAATTACTCATCAAATGTTATGAACATTTTTAAGGCTTCTGATGCATATTGGCAAATGTCTTTCCAAGAAAGTTGTACCAATTTACATGACCCACAGCTGGTGCTACAGTGTGTCACATGAGGACATTTTCACTGTTCCATGCTTGGCAGTTGAGGGAACAGACCAGGTCTTAAGCTGTTTAACCAGGGACAAACCTTCTCCTGCCTGTGATGGCTCTTCTCCACTCAGCTACCAGCCTGTTTTCTTAGCCGCTCTACTTGTGTTCCATACCCATGGCTATAATGCCCATGGATCTGACCGAAAAGCAGGGCGTTCTTCATAGCTTTGCTTCCCCACTCTTCTGTAAAAGCAAACAACGGTATCAGAGAGTGAGTAGGCTGTGCTGGGCACAAAACAAGGGGAAAAGCACTGCATAAAATTGACCTTATGTGCAAAGGTACAGCTGGATAAAAGGACAAAAAGTTTCCAGGAATTAGTTAAATATGTAAACAAACATTCAGCATCTCAAAGAGTGATGAGAAAAATGGCTGGAAAGGTTGATTTGAGTCCTTTATTTAAATTACTCTTTACTAAGCACAATGTATTTTACTTTTTAAATTCTTGTTGAAGTCTTATGGGCAAGTGTTATTATTCTCACGTTAGATGAGAAAATATGTTCTAAGAAGTTCGGAGAAATTCAATTCCGGCCCCCCCAGAACAATCAACTAGTGAACCACTAAGCTTGGATTCAAACCAGCCTGACCTCTATGATCATCCTCTTTGTCTCACAGTGTTCTTTGGCACCAGGCAAACTAATTTGGATAGTTGGACTTAGCAAGTCAATATTTTTAATCCTTCTGATCTCGACATTGTTTTGAAGTGGTTTAGCTGGTCCAGCTCTCTCTGAAAACAATAACTGGTAACACAGTATTTATGCTCTTGCAGGCATTTTTCCAAGAACATTACTTCTAAGAAGTCATTTAAACCTCAAACATCCCCGCAAGGTAGGTACCATTATTAGTCTCATCTTACAGTGAGGAGGCAGAGGCCCAAAAAGGTTAAGAAATTGGTCTGTAGCTGTGAAGTAATTGCATGTGGTAATTGAGTTTATCACCCAGATCTTCATAATTATGTCCTGCTTCAGAGGTGTTCCTGGCAACACCTTACATCCCGTTGTGGACACAGTGGTGGAATCCACAAGAGCCACCTGGACTGCACTGGTAGCATAAAAGCAATAGGTGAAACACCATAGGCCAGTTGTTATAGACCTCGGACTTATCAAAGGTTATCAAATAAGAATAAAAAGTCAGCTGCCTCTATATCACTTGCAACTAAAATATATTCGAAGTTACTGATCTTAGTGGTGCCTTACCATCTTTCCTGTGCTGGATTTCACAAGTCTGACCTTTAGACACATAACACTGCCTGCATCCCCATGCCCTACACCTGGCCCCTATTAGGGTGAGCACATGCTCAACATTAATTGCCTGAATAACTCCAACCGAAGAATGGCAGATGAATTTAAGCAGCGAACCATCCAACAAAGAAATTTTCATTAATATTCACAGAACTCAGAGTGCAGTAGAGCAAAGATTCAAACTGATGTTGGTTTTAACCTGGTGGTGAATACATTCCTACACTTCTTGGTGGGGTGCGGGGACAGATGGGGACAATTCTTTCATGCAACCAAAATATAGTGATTTCCCATGCTCTGGTGTGGACACAGCCAAGTTCCATCTGCAACATGACCTTCAGATGCAGGTAAAAAGGTTTTAACTCTTTTAGAGACCTGGGTATATCCACATGCTGCTGCAACATTTGAGTGGAAAGTAAAAAATATGGTGCTTGTTCCAGATATTTTTTTCCTTATTGAGCATATAGATGTTTCAATGTCTTCAAGTATTGGGCACCAAATAGCAAAAGAAAAATCCAGGTGATAGATTACATTTTTCCCTTTACATCTACACATTTTTGTGGGGCATATGAAATGGTGTGCTGCAGAGATCTATTTCTAGTTTGAATGAATAAACTAACCCATGAGTGTTTTTCTATTTTCTCCAGCAAAATAGAAAATAGCCACACACCACACAATCTCAGGGCTTGATATTTTATCTCACCTTGCCATGAAAAAGCTAGGTATATTATTTGGCAGAAAGAATAGAGGTTATTTGTAGGGTGGGGAAAGGGAGGGACAGTGTTGTTTCTTCATGATATGTAGAAGATCTTTGGAAATATTTGAGAAAAGGAATAGATCATTTGGAAAGAACAAGGCTGAGGAGTCACACTGATCTTCCATTTACTAGCTATGTGATGTTGAGAAAATTGCAAAACCTCTCTGATCTTTGATTGGAGGTCAGAGAGAGCAAAATTCTCTCAATTGCTGTAAGGACTAATGAGATGGCGTTTGTGAAGTCCCTAGGTAGCTTATATTGACACCTCATTTCATAACACTCTTCTAACCTCTTTATATAAATCAATTCACTTTAGCCACAAAGTAACCCTATGAGATAGGAACTGTCATTTTACAAATGAGGAAACAGAGCCTCAAAGAGGTCAGGATAGTTGTTTTGTAAATGACAGAACTGGAATTTGATCCCAGGCAACTTTACCTTGAAATCAATGTTTTTAACCATTGTACCGTACCACTTCTAATATATCATAAATGATTTATAAATGCCTGCCATTTTAGGATTATCTGTTGCAGAGTTAGCCAAGTTCTCTGAACAAGTTCTTCACAATCAGAATACTCATAGGTGTAATCCCTAATAGTGGCCCAAGAGGTTTCAGACTTGTGTTCCAAACATTTGATGTACCTCAAGCATGATTCACCTGAACATGAAGGAGAATACAGTATAGAAGTAGAGAACGTGGGCTTTGGAGTCTGGCTGTATTTAGGTCTAAAGCCCATTTTGCCACCTAGTAGATGAGTGGCCCAAGCTAAGCTAAGTAATGTAAGACATTGGACCTTGGATACTCAACCAAGAGAGCACCACAGAGTGTGTGTTTTAATGATGATGGGGATGGTGGGGGGCAATACTGGTATTTGAATGGGTGGGGGTCAGGGATGCAACACAAGAACTGTCCTGTACAATGAAAAATTATCGTGCATTCTATATGACTTTTGAAAGTCCACCAGGTAGTTAGGTAGATTAAAACCTCTTTATAATTATATGTACCTAGATTCAAGTCCATTTTACATATAAACATGTGGCTTTTATCTCACTGCTTTAAAATGCACTGAATTTTTCAGAAATACACCTTCTCTGTAAATTGGGGAAGACAGGTTTTTAAAATCTTACCAAGTCAATTATACTTCAGTTAAAATAAAAATATTACAAAGGGTTATTAGTTACAGAAACACCCCCTACTGGTGTGGTTTTTTTGTTTTTTGGGGTTTTTTTGGCTGCATTGGGTCTTCGTTGCTGCGTGCGGGCTTTCTCTAGTGTGGCGAGCGGGGGCTGCTCTTCATTGAGGTGCGCGGGCTTCTCTCATTGCGGTGGCTTCTCGTTGCGGAGCATGGGCTCTAGGCACGTGGGCTCAGTAGTTGTGTCTCTCAGGCTCCAGAGCGCAGGCTCAGTAGTTGTAGCACACGGGCTTAGTTGCTCTGCAGCATGTGGGATCTTCCCAGACCAGGGGTCGTACCCATGTCTGCTGCATTGGCAGGTGGATTCTTAACCACTGTGCCACCAGGGAAGTTCCCCTACTGGTGTTTATACTGCCAGTAAAATATATCTGTTTCAGCCTGTATTTTTGGCTGTTCCATTTATGGTGATTTTATGTATGGATATAGGTATCTTACTACTTCATTATATCTTCTTATAATGTCATGTCAGACATTATAACTTAATTATGGGAAATAGTTATTACTATTATCACAGTAGTACTTAACTTGTGCATAATAGTTATTACTTTATTGTAATCTATTATCTTTAATTTCTCTTCTGTATCACGATTAGGGCATTGCACTGATTTTATAAAAATTATGTATATAGATAATTTATATTATTTATGAATTTCATTTCAGGATGATAAAGGGAATATTATAAAATATGTGTTATAAAAAGAGGCATTGGATCAATAGGATTTAAAATAACTACTGTCATCAGTGCTCCTGGGATTAGAAAGTCTACAGTGGCTAATGGGTTGAATGTTGGACCCTAGAATTGAATCCAAGGTCACAGAGCAAGAATTAGAACGTTTGCATTGTAGAAATGTTGACTGCATTAGAACTCTGACTCTGAGCAGGGTTTCCCCACACTAGTTTTTCTGGTAACCCATGAGCACATATAAAGAGCCTTTGGGTTTGGGAGGGAAAGCTGAAGTTAATATGCAAAGTTTGAGTACCCTAATATGTCACTTCTATTGGTGGTTTTGTTTGTTCATAGCCCTAAATTAATTTCTTAAGTTTGTTCATTCAGCTTGGAGCTCTATGAAGGAAGAAGATAAAACACAGTAATTAGCTTATTGCCCTGTCATTATTGAAAGCCTGTGATGGCAGTCCCTAGAGGTATCTTCCCTTTGTGTAACACTCTTGGAAGAAAATGTTACTTTATACATAGCTTAATTTTGCTTGTTTTATGGCATGCCACATGATCCTGCCACCAAACTGTGGGTTAGGACAGGCAGCGGCACCCTCCCCTTAGCTTTAGATGAGTGAATTGAGTCTCTTAGCTTCACCACGATCACCATGGTTCAGAAAAATATCTCAATAAATTTAAGCCATTGATTGACAAAGCAAATTCCATCAAAATCTGCAACGATCCTCCAACACATAGATGATAAAATTCAAATTCCCTAGAATGGTGCTTGAGCCCTGTCCTATGATTCCCCCCATTGATGCAGCCTCATCTCCCATCCCATCTCCTCCAGGTCCAATCCAGCCACACAAACTATAGGAGATGCATTACCCAGCAGGACCTCCCATCTAAACTGTTTCCAACACTGGGTTTCCTAGACTACTCAATATTAAATTTACCCTCAATATTACCCTCAGTATTAAAGACCCAGCTCAAATGAGAAGCATTCCTATTTCATCACCTTTCTTACCTTTCCCCTCCATATTCCAATGTCTCCCCACCATATCACTTGTTACTTTAGAGTGTCATTAGTGATGAGCCTGTTTCTGTGGACCCGACCCAATCAAGTAGTTTTTCAAAGGAAAATACTTTTCATACTTATCTTGTATTTCTAGAGTCAAGAACAGAGTTTGGGACATTGCAGCTTGGTCCTATTCAGTGAAGAGAGTAACTGATGACTACCCACTACAGAGTGTTTCGCCTCCTTATATTTTAGAGTAAGGAGAGAGAAGTGATATTGAAGAACTGGGAGCAGTTAATCAGAGTTACTGGTAGAATCCTGTAAAAAGTGGTATTTCCTTAAAAAATATAGGCTGGTAAGTCAACCTGGGTTGGGGTAACAGTTTTTGAGTCTTGGGCAGAAGGCTTGAGTTGAGACTTCTGGTGAGGCCATTGGTCTTTTACCAGTGGCTATGGTGCTAGAATGGCCCTCCCTCTTCCTGCTGAAGGCAACAAGGCAGCCAGAAGCGCTAAGAGGAGAGGAACCCTCTAATGCACAGCTGGCAAGAGGAGAAGTTGGTGCAAACTTTCTAGGGAGGAACTTGTACGTCTGTGTGTAGAAAATTTTATTAATAAAGATATTAGCATATTTCTTCTAGAATTATTGATATGAGAAACTGCTGAAGAAATTAAATGTTTAAAAGTAGGGACTAATTCTAGTAAATTATGTAATATCTACATGATGAAATATTGTGAACCATTAAACACTTATTCCAAATAATAATAATACCAACTGCATAGCTAGACAACTTTTAAACATTAGCTGTTTTCATCCTATTATCAAGTTTAAGATATAGTCATTATCATCCCCAGTTTACAGACAATCTACACTAAAAAAAAAAAAAAAAGTAGTCTTGCTTAACATTACGTGATTAGGTAAAGCTGGGATTCAAACCAGATGTACCAAATGAAAAAGTCCATATTCTTCC